AGGCTCAAGTAACTGGTCCTTTTGGTGTTTACAGGTGAAAGTCACAGAGCAGACACTGCCGAGACACAGGTTCAGCCCAAGTTCAACAGCATTCTAAGCAGCACTGGGACTGGTGTTCAAAAAGCCAGAGCAGCCGGCGTGAGGGGCTATCCAGGGATGACCAAGCACCGAGGACAGCAGTGAGGCCAGCGAAGCCAGGGGCAGGCCAGAACCATGAGGAGCAGAGAAGGAGCAGGTTCGGGAAAAGGGACCCACGCCAGGGAGTGAAGGCAGACTGCGCAACCAGAGAAGGGAGGACATTTACACAGCAAGGCACTGTGGGCACAAGCCACGGGGGACACCCACACTGTGCACCGTACAAAGTCAGCCTGGGAAGCCCCTCCCACAGACTGGAGGGAAAAAGCAAAGGAGAGGGGTCCTACAGATAGACATGCACGCAAGGTCTGAAAAGAAAACTAAGATCCGATGCAAGACCACAGACAACGAGGCTTAGTTAGTGACGCTGCTGGAAATCCCTAAAGATCCCACCCAAAAAAGCTACAGAACCGTCTAGTCTTGCCACACCCATGCGTCAGGACAAGGCACTGTTCTGAAATCCAACAGATGAGGGAATCTTATCCCTAATCCTGGTTCCAAAGGTCACTAAGAACACATTTTACCTGAAGGAGCTTTAGAATAAAAAAGCCACTTTGCAAAGACAGCAAAGCCACAGTCTAGCAGACAGGACTGATCCTGACAGGGGTGAACGATACTGGGGATAATCAATACTCTGTTCTTCTCTCACCCCGCTCCTCCCACCGACTTTGAGCAAAAGGGGGAAAAGGCAGTGACAGTCCTCAGATACGGCAACACTAGAGGCTCACGTGGATGGAAACATGGCTAAGGGAGGCAGCGTGAGTTTTCAAAGGTGTTGCATGTTTACCGATCCTATAAAGCACCAGGGAATGGAAAAAGGGTCCCATTATTTTCCATTTAATGGAATTAATTCTTATGTTCTATGGCAATATTTTTATAAGGCTTGATTATCACCAAAAAATTAACTGAGAAAAGCATGGACGCATTTATTTATAGTAATGACTTAAAGGCCTTTCCAAGCATGACAGAAATCCCAGAAGCCACAAAGGCAAAGATGAATACATCTGCCAACATATGACAAAAAAATACCCTCTGCAAAAACCAAAAGTAAATGACATACTGAGGAAAAATACATGCACATTTGACAAAGGGCTACTTTCCAAATTCCCTAATTTATATTGTCAGTCAGTCAGATTGGGACGACACAGAAAATCCTACGGAAGAAGGGGCAAAGGAATTAACATTGCACAGAAAAAGAAAAGACAAATGACCAAAGAACACATGAAAAAATGTTTAGCTTTATTCATGACTAAACAAGGAAAAATGAGAAACCAGTTGTAACCCATCAGACCTGCACACATTTAAGAACTGGCAAGTGTAATCCTGAGAGAGAACCTGGTAAGATCCAGAAGAATGTAAAAGGAATTCACCATTTGGTCCACCATTAACTGCTATGAATTGAGCCTACAAAAGTCATACAAAAGTATGTTAGGATATATGTTAACAAGGATGGGCACTAAGCATTTTTATTTGCTGTAGCAAAAAAAAAAAAAAAAAAAAAAAAGCAAGAAAGAAAAAAGAAAGAGAAAGGAAACAACTTCAAAATCCATCAAGAGGAGACTGGTTAAAAAAAAAAAAATCAACAATGAAACACTACACAACTATTAAAAAGGGTAACCTATATGCTTTGATATAAAAAGACCTTTATTATTTACTCCGAACCAGCATGCTATGGAACAGTATGTATGCATACATGCAATTCTTTGCATGTACTTTTTTTTTTAAGTTTGTATTTACTTTTCAAGAGAGAGAAAGAGAGCACAAGGGGAGGAGGGGCAGAGAGAAGGAGAGACAGAGAATCCCAAGCAGGTTCTGCACTGTCAGCACAGAACCCAATGTGGGGCTCGAACTCAGGAACCATGAGGTCATGACCTGAAGCAAAATCAAGAGTCAGCCGCTTAACCAACTGAGTCACCCAGGCGCCCCTTCGTATACTTTTCTTAAAAGAATAAATATACACTGCTGTATCTGCTCTGGAAGGAAATCACATGAAACTTAGCGTCGGTGACTTTGGGAATGAGGACTAAGGAGTGGGGAAAGGGAAGGGAAACAGGCTTCAGTTTACACTTCTCGAATGTTTTATCACATAGCTGTATTATTCTCACTAAAAGTTTTTTTTAAGACATGTGTAAGATTCTACCTAAAAATATATAATTTTGTAAACCGAAGAATCTAGAGAAAGAGAAAGATAGGCTGCAAGTGGATAATTAGTGTATCAAGAAGACAATTATAGAGGCAGAACCCGAGAGCTATGAGGAATAATGACAAGCTGATTACTTCTGACCAAAAAGACTTTACAAAAAATCAAAACGGAACAAAGGAAAGCTTCCTGGTATTTGTAATATGTGAACAGGGCTTTGTATTTCAAATAGAAACAGAAAGAACACTTCAAACAGAAGGGATGGCAGGAGCAGGGAACATAGGAGTGAAATGTGGGGTGTCTGGGGTAGTGGCCAGGACCCGGGTTTGAGGGGTAACACAGCACAGACGAGAACCACTGTTGGAAGGTGAAGGGCCTGAACACTAGAGAACCCAAACTGAATTCTGGCAGCAGCCAACTTGAACATGAGTCCAAAGAAGGACTCAACAGGACTTGGACACTGACGGACGCCAACTGTCCTAGGAGGCAAGTGGGTCCAGCCCCAAACAAGGAGTTTGGGCTGCCCTCTGGGCATCTGCATAGAGCCGTCTGACAGGTAGTGGGAAGTAGGGGTGTGCAGCTGTACAGAAACACCAGATACCGATCTGGAAGGAACCAAAAATTGTACCGAGGCCTGACGTGGTAAGAGGAGGTTACTGAGGGAGACAAAACAGAAAAAAGTTTAGCTGAGAGCAGAAACGTTTTGCTGTTTGCTCCTATGAAAGAGGTGCTGTAACATGGTCTGGAGAACGAGGTACCCCACACACTCAGCCCTCTCTTCAGCACATCATTTCATTAATGAAATTCTGCATCATGCCTTTTGTCAAGCTGTGAGGAAACTGCACAATGAAAACCGGGACCTAGCCTAGTGTCATCTTCCCGCACGGCTAACCCGTTCAGAAGAGAGCCTAGAGAGGAGACAGGATGCTTAGATGCCATCTGCGCAAAACACCCACATGGGCCTCCCAATCTCCTCTACAACATTCTTGGGTAAAGCTCTCGAAGTGTTTCCCCATAATGGCAACTGGAACAAAAGCGCAAGTGTAAAATCTGAGCAACTGGGAATGTGCTACTGAGCTCACATTCGCGGCGGTGACCAGAGGGCAGGGACTATGTGAGCCCAGCACAGTGTCTGGCAGAGAGAGGCTCTCGGCACATGTCAGCTGACTCAACCTGAACCAAACTGGTGGCGCAAAATCCCCGGCTGCCGCCATCACTACACCCCCAGCCCTCAACTCTTCCTGCTGAAGACCCAAGAGGTACAGGTGAAATCTACCAAGGTGGCTCATTCCCATCTAACCCACAAACTCTCTCATTTAAAAATACCCAGTGACGCTGCTAAGGAAAGAAGGCAAGGTTACAAATCTGGAAGTTATTTAAGGCACCAGGAGATACCACTATTCTCAATCAAGATGCTCACAATTCCAAACCCAGATCTGCACCTGCGGGATTCAGTCACTTGCTGGAATCAGAGCCACAAACCAATCTAGGCTTCCTCTACCAGGCACTGAAGACCTAAGATCCCTAATTTCCATTCCATACAAAAAGTCACGAAAAAGACCACAGATGGAAGCACTAGGGACAGCAGGCATGGTAACAGCAGTAACAACTATATAAAAATAACTTTTCTAGGTATTTCTGCCTGGGTCTAGATCAAAACTAAACTTGAGCTGTCATGAATTACAATCTAATCCTTTAGAAAGCACCAGCCGAATAACACCAGGGCTGCATAAAACATTCTGGTGCTGCTGAAACCCAATGCACGAAAAAAATAAATAAAATGGCATTCCGTGATGGATATTCATGAAGCACTCATCCTAATTTAAAAGAAAACAAGTCTAGAGTTCTTACTGCATTAATTCATGTGAGCCTGAAAGAACATTTTTATCCAAACTGTTAGATTTCCTACCAAGGCGTTAACATTCTCCAAGTCTGCTCAGTTACACTAATTCTGAGAGTACGGCTTGGTTTGACAGTGGGGTTTGTCTTGCAGTCAAGGCAAAACATCAGAAGCTTCTTCTGAGCTGTCCGAGCAGGGGAGGGATGGCCTCTTTAACCTCACCTGCAATGAATGTCAAGGATGAACAGTCATACTCCTACTGTGCGGAAGGCTTCGTAAGCCCCGTACCTCCTCACTGAACATTCCTGACACCTTTCTGAGAGATAGTGCGGCCCACCCCATCCTCCAGGGAAGGGAACAAACTCAGAGGGACCAAGAACCTTTCCCAAGGTCACTAAGGACTGCTGAGCCAGGATTTGAACCTGAATTCGTCAGTCTCCCGAGGGGGAATTCTTATCTCCTGTAAGAGTAAGGCTTTAATCCAGGCACGCTGGTGAGATACAGGGTTTGTAGCGGTACTGGACCCTCACTGATCAACTTTGAGTGGAAAGGGAATTCTCATTTAAAGATGTATCGTTACACTGGCATAACGATAATTAAGCGTTTACAACGTTGCACTTTGAGTAGTCTGCAGCCATTTCTCTGCATCATGTCCACTATATCCAACAACATCTTTCTACTTCTATGAAGTAGGCAAATAGATGTTTCATTAATTCATCACAAATGAGAAAGACGTGTTTCATGTATAGCAATGAGTAAGCTTTCTTAAGGCCAAGAGCTCAAAAGTGGCATCTTATCTGCTTACTGCTGGCATTTCCCAGGACACTGGACCTAGGAAACACAGGAAGACCCGCCTCTGAGGACAGAAGTGTTAGAAAAGCTCACCTTGAATCGCTTTCTTCCGTGAGGTTTTCCATGCCATCAATATCAACCAGAAAATAACCATTAGAAATTAAACTGCATTCAGTTGATGGCCTTCACTAAGCTAAATTCAGCAGTCAGCTATAAAACATTAAATGGGTACAATTAAGAAGTCTGAAAAACACGAAGCAGGATTTAAACCAAAGTAACATGAAAACTAATGGGAATAAAACATAATGATAGCATTCTAGATTCAGGATATTGACATCAACAAGTGCTTCGATGGAGAGGGTCCAGAAACATGCAAAAATTCACAGCTCAGAGAAGCTGAGGTTCAGCAGCCTATCATTTCTCCACCTTGATAGATTTACGCGTAATGATGATGACAGTGACGGTGGTGGTAATGAAAATGTATTAAACAGTTAATAGGAGCCACAAACTCTACCTCCTTCATTTTTATTTTTTCCATTTTAAAACTCATAGCAACTCTATCAGATGGATTTTATTATCCTCACACTAGAGATGAGAAGACAGAGAGGCTCAGAGACATTATACAAATTACCCAAGTTCACAGAGATGGTAAGTAGCCTTGTTGGGATTCAAATCCAGGCCTATCTTGTTTCAAAGCTTACGTTCTTTCCCAACAGTCTCCAACAGAAGAATTACATGGCTTTTTTCTTTCCTATAATCAAGAGTAAACTTTTTAATCTTTCAAAGATTCGTTTCACGCTATCTGCACTCTCAGAATGAAAACCCGGGTCACCTGGGTGGCTCAGGTGGTTAAGCGTCAGACTCCTGGTTTCGGCTCAGGTCATGATTTCATGGTTTCGCTGCGTGGGGCTCTGCGCTGGAGGCTTGGAGTTTGCTTGGGATTCTCTCTCTCCCTCTCTCTCTGCCCCTCCCCGCTCCCTCGAGCTCTCTCTCTAAATATATAAATACACTAAAAAAAAAAAAAAAAGAACGAAAGCCAAAAATATCCGAATGGCAGCATTACACATAAGTTAATATACAACAGAGAAAGCTAATAACTAACAACAGATTCCCCTTTAAAAAGGAGGGGAATCACAATGTTTTTAAAGAGTCGTTTACCAACAAGAATCGGAAATGTTTGAGCACCTATTATAAAAGTCTGGCCACAGCATTAGATACCACCAGGGCTCTGCGACAAGTATGAAGACACAATGCCCTCACAAGAACTCCCACTCCAGCTGGTACAAGCACGAGTTCAAAAACCAAGGAACAAATGCAGAATCCTGCGATTTAGATTCTGAGTGCCACAAAGGCATGGGGGTAGGGCAGTCAGGAACACCCTCTGGAGGAAGTAGATCTTCAGCAGGGCTTGAAGGAAGTGAAATGGGGAATTTACACAGAGAAGAAAAAGGAGGCCAGCACTTCAGAAGGGGGAAACAACAGGAGCAGAGCCCTAGAGGCAGTCATAAACTTGGTTCTGCAGAGCGCAGACGGAGAAGGAGAAGCAAGGAAGAAGGTGCCATAAGGTGCCGGGAGGTGAGGGGGAGCCAAACCAAGGAGAGTCCTGAAAAGACAGGGTGGGCAATGGCTGGACACAATGTGGCAGACAGGGGACACTACTCAATGCCGTGGCCCCTTAGCTGTTCTGGCCCCTAGCGTCTCCTTTCCCCTCCTGCAAATCATCACAAACCACCCGAGTCTCCTGCTGCTCACCACTGCCTTTCAAATAGCTTCAATGTGGGCCTAGTGTTCAAGTTCTTTCAGGAACAAGCCTCAACCAATCTTTCCTCCTATTGCCTTCCTAGATGAACACTGATCTACAAGGAGACTGGTCTATTCACTAACTCCATCAGATCACTGGGCCCAATTCCTCTTTTCCTAGCTGAATCCTACCCATCCTTTAACAGCCAGCCCAAATCCTGCCTCCTCGCTAAGCCTTCCCTGACCACTCAGCCTCTAGTGACCTCCATCTCTCCTTCCTCTTAATTCTAGGGCATATAGCCCTGTCTCATCAATTACCTTTTCACAGGTAAAGTGTCAGCACCTAGGGTAAAGCTGCTTGGAGGCTGTGGGTCTTCCACTACTTTCCCCCACCATATGGAACAGCATCTTGACATTTAATAATCAAGCAAGCACTCAACTCTCTTTCTGACTTCCTATATTAAGTTTGGCATTAGCATAAAGGAAGGAGGGGGGAGGCGGGGGACTTCTGAAGTCACAGACCAACTAAGAAGCTGTTGCAATAATCCAGATGTGAAGCAAAGAGGGCCTGACTAAGGAACAAAGAGAAAATGGGCAAATATAAACAACAAAAAAAATTTTGCATGCAAAAACTCAGCGGGATGTGACTGACTACTACTAGGGACAAAAGCAAGGGATGAAATATTAAGGTAAGGTTTCCAAACGCGTCTTGGAATCATTTTAAAGCCTGTCCGAAACCAAGTGCATTAAGTGGCTAAAAAGTCCACATTTGCAAAAGTCTTCAGTGAAACTGCCCAGTATCTTGAACCAGGGACAACCCTTCCAATTTCAGACACAGACAGAACGGTAAAGCTACAGGGGTCTTTAGAGAGCTAATCTAAAACCCTCACTGATCAGATGGGGAAACTGAGGCCCAGCGCGGAAATGGCTTGCTGAAAGCCTCAAGACAACTCCCAGACTAGTGCCGCCTAAAGCACAGCCGCCCGAGAAGGGCAGTGTTTACAGCCCGAGGCCAACCCCAGCCCGGCCCTCCTTAATGTGAAGACCGACTGAGGGCGAGAGTGACCATGGAGACGTCTAGGGCCAAGCAGGACGCGCCGCCGCCTGTTTACCTGAAGAAAGGCGGTGGCGTGGGGCAGGGGCTCCGCTACAGCCGCCAGCAGGGCCGACCCCGCGGCCCGGCCAGGCCCTTCAGGGCACTCAACCATCCGGCCTCCCGGTACAAAAGGGGAGCGCCCCTGAGAGCGAGGGGCCCGGAAGCAGGGGATCCCGAGACGCCCAGGGCGGAGGCTGGGGAGCCCGGGTCAGCTGGCCGAGCGCGACCCTCGGCCCCGCCGGCGGCGCCCGGACTCCTGGGCCGAGCACGACTGGCCCCTTCGGGGCGCGCGCCTGGCCGGAGCAGGTGCCCGGGCCTCCCGACCCCGCCCGGCCTCGGCTCCAGCCCGCGCCACCCACCCACCCGCCGGACTGACCAGGCGCGGACGCTCCCGCCCCGCCGCGCCCAGAGGGAGCCGGACAGCGGCCG